ATATACCTTTTAATAACCCTGCAAAGAAAGAGGCAAGGTATACATTTAAAAGAAACAGGCAAGAGTATCTTTAGTGCATTAAATTATCCAGATAAAAATAACCCATTTTATTTTTTTTACAGCTTTAAAATGACAATGACAATTTTAGATCTTAGAGCAGAGTAATAAATAATCACAATTTCTAAGTATTTTTATTTAGGTACTATATTCATTTAGACAGTCTTTCTTTTTTCTTTTATCCTCATCCGAGGACATTTTTCCATTTTTTGTTCAGACAGAGCAGGAGGAAGAGAGAGAGAGAGAAACATCAACGTGAAGGGACACATCGAGTGGCTGCCACCCGCACGACCAACCAGGGCCGGGGACAAACTGCAACCGAGGTACGTGCCCTTAGCGGGAACCGAACCCGGGTCTCTCTGTACCGCAGGCCAACGCTCCAACCGCTGAGCCAAACCGGCCAGGGCTAGACAGTCTTTCAAATACATCTCCAATTTTTAGGCAAGGCAGCTGTATCTCCTACAGTATCCATGTTAATATTAATGTACAATGGATGGTACCTAAAAACAGAGCATTTAAATAAACTGATCTTTCAGGAAGAATTAATCTGCAGTGGCCTGATGTGTGGGTAAGTAGTTGTGAGGCAAAAAGCTCACCTATCTGGATCAGGTCACAGCACCTTACTAGTCAGTGCTATGTATGCACAACCAAAAGCCATCGGGGATGGTTCCCAGAAAGCAAAGATGCATCTAGATGCATCTGCTAAGTTGAACCTTAACACAATTGGCAGCTAATTTTAAAAGCTACATATTTTTAAAAAGCTAAGGAATTACCAAATAACAATGGAAGATTCCCGCTAACCCACACGATAGGTAAAACACTAAGAAGGCTCAAGGTTCCTGTCCCTTGATGTACAATCCGTGGAGTGAGTGGAACTTGTGAACACAACGGGAGCATCACCCCAGAGTTGTTATATGGCAGAATGCATTCTGCAGATGTAACTGAAACCAGCTGTTGATCACACTGAGGATTTCCTGGGTATCCTGAGTTGCTTTCAAGATTCTCTCTTTGTCTTTGACTTTCAATAGTTTTATTATGATGTATGTAGGTATAGAGCTCTTTTTAAATCCTACTTGGGGTTTCCTGAGCTGCTTAGCTATATAAATGTTTTCATCAAGACTGAAACATTGCTTCTTCAAATATTCTACTGATGGCTTTAAAGAAGTCTATTGCCATGTTGTGGAGACAAGGTGATAGGAGGTGGCAAGTAACCTCTATGAGCTGAGAACGCCCCCTGTTGACAGCCGGCAAGAAAGCAGGCACCTCAGCCCAACACCTGTAAGGAACTGAATTTGCCCAAGAATCAGGGAGCTGGAAGAGCTTGGGCCTCAGATGAGATGAAGACCCAGACCACAACTTGACTTCAGTCTGGTAAGGACTCGAAAAGAGGACCCAGATAACACGTCAGGTCCCTGAGCCACAAACAATGAGATAATAAATTTGTGTAGTTTGAGCTGCTAAGTTTGTTATGTAAGAGAAAACTAATACAGAAGCCAAAGAAGGGAACTTCCAAGACTATGATTTTGAAAATAATTGCTTCAAAATATTACTTGAAATCAGATGATGTGAGTATTCATTCAAATAATTTATCAAATGCCTACTTTGTTCCTCTATGTATTGTGCTAGGTTCTGAGCACAAAAGGTGAGCAAGAGCAGGTAGGTGAGGAAGGCAAGGCCAGGCCTACTCCTGAAGATACTGAGGACTGGGGTGGGTACCAAAAGAGTCTGTGGCAATCAGGTCAAGACTGCATCAGCAATCTGTACGTCTTGATATTCTACTCCAGGGTAATCATCTAAAATAATGGGCCTTAACTCTGTGTATTAAAAATCAGCCAAGAATGGAGGCAACCCCAATTACACACTAAACAATGTCCAAGCTCTACTCCATACCAATTAAGTCAAATTACCTGGGTAGAGCCCAAGCATCCAGGTTGATTTTAACTGTAACCAGGACTAAGAACCATTGATGTAAAGCTTTTCAAATTCCTCCGAAGATCAAAAGTCACTGTCCCAGAACCTGGGTCTGGAGGTGAGGCGCTGAGCACAGTCCTCACAGTGGGGAGGGAAAGAGCAAGGGCAGGCATTGGAGACAGAATGCCAGTGGAGACTGGGCTTTGTGAGAAGCACTGATGATCCTGAATAACTGAAATTAAGTGGTAAAGATCAAACAGTAAAAGACCTCTGTGATTACTGGAAATAAATTTAATATGCTTACCATATTTAACTTAAGCTAGTATTAAAATAAGTTGAATGTTTTGGAGTGCCAGGCTAGATAAACCAAAGAAAAAAGTTCCTATAATGTCCTGATTAGAAAAGTTAGGACAATAAACCCTACTTTATTTTTATTTTTTATTTTTTTGGTTAATCCTCACCCAAGAATATTTTTCCATTAATTTTTAGATAGAGTGGAAGGGAGGCAGGGGGAGAGAGCGAGAGAGAGGAGAGAAACACTGATGTGAGAGAGACACATTAATTGGTTGCCTCTCACATGACCCTGACTGGGGCTGGGGATAGAACCCACAACCCAGGTATGTGCCCTTGATGGGGAATTGAACCTGCAACCCTTCAGTGTGCAGGCCAATGCTCCAACCATTGTGCCAAATGAGCCAGGGACATACTCCATACTTTTAATGTACAGAGAAAATGGACATTATGTTCAAAGGTAGTTGCTCCCATACAGACCCTAATCATGGTAATGGGAAGTCTAAAGTGTGTTTCAGGAGGGAATATAGCCGGCCCTTGTTTATCACAGTTAATCAGTTCCAGACTCTACCTCGATAAATGAATTTCCACGAAGTAGGATTCTTTATTTATACACAGTCGTCCTTCAGCCACTTCGCACTTCAACGTTCGCGGCTTCACTCTATCGCGGTGTTTTCAAATACTGCGAGGGACGACTGTGTATAAAGAAAGAATGCTACTTCATGGAAATTCATTTATCGCGGTAGAGTCCGGAACTGATTAACTGCGATAAATGAGGGCCAACTGTATGTACTTCAGTAACACTCAATTAAGAAAATTCACATTCACATGGATACACACATACTTACAGGCTATGACTAGAGATATAAGGTTGCTTTTGTATTTTTGTATGTAGGCTTTTGTATTCACTGATCTGCGATTTTGAAAATTACAACAGAAATATCTGTTTTTGACTTACAAACCCACCAGATCATTCAACCACTTCCACTGTACCTTTCTAATCCAAAGCTGGCTTAATGGTTAAAATAATGGTTGCCAGTGACAATATTCTTTTGGTACATGTTAAGAAATTTTTACAAAAGTATCACAAATCAAAAATGTTAATATTAGAAAAAGAATTTTAAATAAGTACTTTAATAAGATTTACCCTTGTTCCTTTGATCTTGAACTTAGTTTATTACTATACAATGAATCTGAGAAGTACACAGGCTGCAACCTTTCCAAAGAAACTTTTCAGGTTAATTCTTTGATTCTTTTTTGAACCTGCAACCTGGGTATGTGCCCTGACTGGGATTCGAACCCATGATACTTCACTGCAAGGGGGGAGGTTCCAACCAACCGAGCCACACTAGCCAAGGCTCCTTGAGTTTCTTTAGAGAAAGAGCTAAGTGTATGTTTGCATTTGAAAATATACCAACCTTACTAACTATTCCTTGGACTCATCCTTTTCTTTTTTCCTGCCTGGACCGAAGCAGTCCATATTATCAACTCAGCCCAAGGCCGAAGGGTGGCTGGCAGGGATGGCTGTGGAAGGGGCGTGATACAGAAGAAAAATGCCATCTTCATGATTATACAAATCACCAAAACCAAGTACTTTTAGTCTGAAAGCAGCAATCTGGCTTTTAAAAGTACTTTTATATAAAGACTAGTTAGTTTATATATAAAGTAAAAGAATAATAGCCACATATGAAATTTAAGCACAGAAGAACATGACACTGACGGAAGAAAATAATCTAAACAAACACTAATATTTGATATTTGTTTGTACTTATGATGGGTCAGGAATTGGTTAAATGCTCTACATACATTAATTAATCTTCACAATAGTCCTAAAGCAGACTATGACCTAGTAATAGAAATAGTGTCCTGTGCTTTCTCCATTTCAGAGGAAAGTAGCAAATATTTCTCTTCAGGGGCTTAAAAATACAACAACAAAACAACACCTTGGTATCAGGGTGTCCAAAATCGGAATTCTACTTCTTCACCTCACTCCCCAAATCAAAGACAGTGTGTTCCAAGTGTGGTATAGAATTGGAAGTTTTGTGCTCTTCTTAAATTCAAGGATTCATGATACGTTAGCAAACTTTCAACCACATTTTACTGTTAAGCACCTATGGCCAGGTAGCCTTTGACCTGCAAATCTATCTTCAAAGTACATGTCATAAAACTAACATAAGGAGCCCTGGCCAGTTTGGACCAGTGGTTAGAGCATCAGCCTGTGGACCAGAGAGGCCCGGGTTCGGTTCCCGCTAAGGGCATGTACCTTGATTGCATTTGTCCCCGGCCCCGGTTAGGGTTGTGGGGGTAGCAACCAGTCGATGTGTCTCTCTCATGTTGATGATGCACTTTCTCTTTTCCTCTCTCTCCCCCTCCAGCTCTACCTGAAGATAAAATGCAAAAAATGTCCTCGGGTGAGGGTAAAAAAAAAAATTAACATAAGGAAAATCAATTCCTTGGAAGAAACACTAAATTATTAGTGCTTTCACATTAAAAAGATAAGAACCACAAATCCCTCATACAAGATTTCAGATTTTCTATTTCATATTCAGAGACTGGAACAAGGTAGAGCTGGAGAGAAACGATAAGAGGCGAGAGCCAAGTCCTGGTTCTCACAGACAAGGAGTGACAGAATGTGCCGGTAGCTGTGTGGGCTGCTCTGCAAGCTTGTAGATAAGGTTCCGTTTCTAACACTGCTAAAGCCAGTCTGTCATTACAGTGCGCTGCAGCTCCCATGGACATACCTTTCTCACGTCTGAACTCTTTGGTTCTGTGGTCCAGGTTATAATTCTAGAAACAGCAAGCCTGGTCTCACTAGAGTTTATAAAATCTGTTGGATCCATCTGCCTGGCGAGAGATTCAATGTACTTCAGGATTGCAACTTTGACCTGAAAGATCCAATAATTATAAACATTAAGTACACTTTATGAATCTTTGAAAAGAATTCCTAACTGGGGATCAGAGAAAAGTAAACACTATTGAGGGAACACCTTTCTGCTGGACTTATGATTCTACATGGAGCCAGCATCCATCAGCATAAAAAGCATGAAATGACTGACAGGTGTTTGGGAACAGGAAGAGTGGCATGTAGCTCAATGCTCTTTATTTTTATAGCGCCGGGCCTGCAGAGAAGGTGTGCCCTCCTCATGTATGCTGCTAGACACCCACAGGGTGGGAGTCCTTGTGGGGAGGCTGTGGAATTTCTAGCTCTGCCACAGACTGGGATGGCAAGTACAAGGCTGTAGTTAGTTTTGTTTTTTTAGGCAGTCTAGGCCATGTCTTGCAAGGCAGTGTGGTCAGTATCAAGCTGATAGTGGAAAAGTTAGGGCAGACTATCAGCTTGACTGATATCCCAGCTGGTTATGACCTCAGGAGAAAAGGTTATTGATTGGGCCTATCCCAAAACCCTGACAAAAGTTTAATGATCAAGGAACAGGTGATGTACACGACCTAACTCAAATGAATACATATCCCCCCTCCAATTTAGTCTTGTTATTACAGGCATTATTTTACAACAACATGTAACAAGTTCATCATCATGTGTTAGAATGTCAACAATTTTAAAAATTCCAAATCAGAATTTTCTAGTTTAAATATTGTGACAGAATAATAATACCCAAATATTGTCAAGGATGTGGAACAACTAGAACTCTCATAAACTGCTGGCAGGAATATAATACAACCATTTTAATAGTATAAAATAAAGTTAAACATATGCCTACCCAATAAATCAGCAATTTCTCTACTGGGTACTGAACCCAAAACAATGAAAGCATGTCCACAAAAAGCTGGACAAGAATGCTACAGCAGATTGATTCCTAACAACCAAATACAAGTCGTGTAAAACAATTCAACTTCTAGAGGTTGAACTATAATGACAAATCGTTACCAACCTTGAGGTTAGGAGTCTGAGTTTGATCCACAATAAATCTCATCAAAATGTTAAATTGTTGATCAAATGGAAAGGAATCCCTGGGTTAAAAAAAAAAAGTGCTTGTTTTAAAGAAAAAAATGTAATAAAAAATAATGTAAAATCATATTAGAAAAACAAAAAATACAGTTACTCTAATATATGTAAAAGCAAGCCTGCTCACACTTTTTAAACAGTACTTTTCATTTTATATTAAATATTAAAGTAATACACATTACCTAAAAAATTTAGAGAAAGGGAAATCTTGTCAAACATCCCAAAGCACATACTAAGCATCATTACTTTGAGTATGCTATTTTAAAATTAATACTGAGCAATAAACTGAAAAGGAAGACACTCCTACCTGCCTTCTAGGAGTCTTCTTTCCAGCTATCTTTCTAAATATTGCTTACCCAAAAAACTGCCAATTTCCAAATCGTATTTTTACACCCTGAATAGACTACCTAACAGCTGACCTTGTTTAAGCTAAATGCACTATACTCCTTGGTCCTAGTTGGTAAAATGCTTATGATCTCTATTTGGTACAGTCACAAGGAGAGTACCTGTGGAGTCCTCAGCAAGAAAAATCCATGTGCAGCTACAAAACATACACAGAAGCCTGGGGGCCTTAGAAGCCCCTCTCCACTCCCTTTCTTACCTGTTACCAATTCCATTCTTTTGGCATCTCACATCTTTGGTCCAACTAAGTAACCCTGAGGGTTCTTACCAAGCTAAAATCAGTGCTCTCTCCCCCTCTTAAAATGCTATCATTACTCATATCAATGTAAAATTGGCACAGTGGAGCCCATGTGGATAATGCAGATATACCTTCCATACTAACAGGAAAGATTATGCAATGCAAACATCTATTACAATTAAAGCTGAGCAATTGCATTGCTGTCTTTGGACTCTCTTAGAGACATTTCTCAATCTACAGAGTATAGTAAAAAAAAAGGAGATGCTGTTTCAAAACTATAAAAATCTCAGGACAGATGTGAAATTTAAAGGAAATAATACAAGAAAAATGTAAAGTTAATAGCACATACTAGGTACTAGTATTGCCAGCATTATAACTACTAAAAAGAAGTAAACTGGACCCAATAGCACATCCTTTTCTATCATATCTGTATGCATCCAGGAAGCTGTGAGGACCACTTCTGGTATAGAGAACACTTTAGTATACATGATTTAAGTAACCCACATGGCTATAAATAAAAGAAATAAGGTCAACAAGCCACATACAAAACGTTTCTCCTTTCTTCTGTAGCAAATAGCTGATGTGTTTAACAGGAAATGTGTCCTGTTGTTGGCACAGCCAAAGGGCAGGAAGCTGAGGCAGATCTGAAATCAGGTCTAATAGCTGAGGGACAGCTCTCAGCCAACACTGAGCCCCTCGATACGCAATGACTGATCCCAGATAAGCTTAAGCAGCTATACATCTCAGCTGCTGAGAAAAAGGGAATTTTAAACATGCTTTAGAGACTGAGACCAAATATAATAAGAACAGGATTCTTGAAGGAAAGAGGCATCCAGGAAAATTAACAGAAGGAAATAACTGTTTTCCTTAATCACCAAAGGTTGGGAATATAATTGCAATATTCCTGCTATCTCCTAAAGATCTGAAATAAATCTGTCATTCACAAATTCCCTTAAATCAAGCAAGTGAACTATAGGCCAAGTTTGGCTCATAAATGTTTTACTTGGCTTTCAGTGTCATAAAAATAACTCTTGAATGTGTTGCCTTAATCCACATTTCTGACCTTCCTTGTAAAGTCTGGTACCACTGGGCCCAAGTTCCAACATGGCCACAACTGACCACACCTCTCCTCACTATCATATTCACTCACTCATTATCAGCCGGATCAGCCTAGCCCTTGTAGCCAATGTTTTATAAATCCATTGCTAGACTGATGTATAAAAATGTTCCCTAATTCTGGCTTATATATGAACTCTGGGGGGACAAAAAGCTGAACCCATAGGAACAGAGAGTAGAATGGTGGTTAGGAGGTGGGAGAAATGAGGAGATGTTGGCCAAAGGGTACAACAGTTGTGACATGAATAAGTACTGGGATCTAATGTACTGTGGTAATTACAGTTAACAATACTGCATTATACATTAGAAAGGTCCTAAGAGAATAGACCTGAGATGTTCTCACCACCACAATAACAAATGATAATTATGGGAGGTGAAGGAAGTGTTAACTAATCCTGTGGTAATAATTGATCAATATATACATGAACCAAAATCATCACACTGTACACTTTAAACATACACAATGTTCTATGTAATTATATGTCAAAAGCAGGGGGGAAAAGTGGTCTACTCCTAAACACTTACCTTGTGACATCTAGAGCCTTCTGAACTTTTGCTTGCACAGATCCAAGTAAATCTGCTCCCATTTTCTTAAGTAATTGTGTGAGAAGAACAAAAAGCCAGTCTTGCAAATCATCCTTATGAATTATTATAAAATCAACAAGAGTCTCCAAAAACATACTGAAAACCTAGACATAAATGAAAACCAAACATTTCACATAATTAATTAATAATTTCCTCCAAAGTCTCCAAAACATTAAAAATGCCTATATTGGCTTTGCCTAGTCTCTTACAAACTAGGTAAACACTGTTAACAACTGATCATACTATAGAAGAAAAAAACGTATTAAAGAAAATGAGGGAAAAAGAATCGGAACTTACTCTCTGATGTGAATTCCACCGCAAACCAGGCCATGCAACAAAACAAATGCCATGTTAGTCCAGTGAATTAATACAGTTTTCATGCAGTTTCTTCAAAGACCTGAAATATCTACAAATTGATAGCATACTCTCTCCTCCCTCAATATGCCTTTATAATTCAGTACAGAGAGAAACAATTTTGCTAAAAAGTATTAGTTTATTTACTTACTTTTAAGTATTAGTATAATCTAGAGGCATTTTTCTTTCTTTTTCTTAAAAAACATTTAAACTATCATAACTCCTCTATACTACTATTTTTCATTATCTAGCATTCAATATATACTATTATAGGAAGACTTTCCATGTTAAGATGATAGAGTAGGTAGACACTGCTCACCTCCTCCCATGACATCAAAATTAAAACTACGCTACAGAACAACCATCATTGAGAACCACCTGAAGACTACCTGAAGTCCTATAACTAAGAATATAAAGAAGAAGCCACAGTGAGACCGGTAAGAGAAGCAGAGACATGGAACTGGCTTGTCCCACACCTGAGTGAAAGTTAAGAGTTGGGAGGGGTAACTCGGCTATGGAGGATCCCCAGAGAAGCTAGGGGTCCCAGCCTCACACCTGGCTCCCCAGCCCAGGACATCAGGGCTGGAAAGGTAAATCCCTTAACACTGGGCTTTGAAAACCAGTGCTAATTGTGTCCAAGAAAGACAAGAGACTGCCAGAAAAGAAGGTGCTACTAGTTTTAAAGGGGACCAAGGCACAGACTCACTTGCTCATAATCTTACTTAACTTGGGGCTACAGTGCAGAAGCAGCAGCTTGGAAAACTCAAGGGACATGGGGATTAAATGAATTGACTAGCTGCAGGGCAAGGGCTGGAGGGGCAGGAGTTGGGACAGCTCTCTCTTGGACAAAAGTGCTGGCAGGTACCACTGTTCCTTTGTAGAGTCCTCACCTCACCTAGGGAGATTTGGGTGGGTGCCAAGCCTGAACTTTCCATTAATCTGGCTAACACTATTCAGTGCACACTGATGATTCCCTGAGACCCCATCCCACCTAAGTCACAAGTCTTGCCTGAATGTCTTTCAGCAGCTATTCCATACAAGCAGCTAAACTGAGCCTGCACTGTGGAAATTTCCTAAGGTCTCTCAAAAATCCACAAACCTCAAACAAGCAGTGGCTGGTCTCAGCATTCTCCATATCTCTTCCTAAGCAGCCCCAAGCCCAACACTAGTGGCAGCCAGCCTCCATTTACAGGATAGCCTCTCCAGGAGCCTCCAAGCCCACCACAGGGGGCTACCAACTGCAGGTCACTTTGTAGCTCCTAATAAGTAGCCTCCGGGTAGACACAGGCAGAAGCTGACATGGGCCTACACCGGAGCGCCTCCCAAGAGGCCTCAAAACCAACATACCTGGTAGCCAGGTTCATACCACAGCAGAGCCCCACCCAACCACCTCCATAAAAGACACACACAAAGAAAAGACTCAGCAGGATCCAGAACCCTGCTAAAGCAAATCTTGTTTTGCGCAGTCAACCTCTGCACAACAGCTAGTCCACTGTAGTCATGGACAGTCACAGCCTGTTATTCTGAGGGTCAATATCACACACTCATGTGCCAGCAACAGTTAAGGCTAAACTACAACAGAAAACAACACACACAACCCACACAAGGTGCATCTCTGGAACACCCTGCTCAGGTGACCAGGGAGTCTGCACCACTATATCTGACAGCACACCTACTACATAAGGCCACTCTATCAAGAACAGGAGACACAGCAGCTTTTCCTAATACATAGAAGCCAACACAGGGAGGTAACTAAAATGACGAGACAAAGAAATGAATCCCAAATGAAAGAATAGGACAAATCCACAAAAAGGACTAGATGAAATGAAGGCAAGCAATCTACCAGATAGAGTTCGAAAGACTGCTTACGAAGATGCTCCATGAACTTACAGGAAGACTAGATAATCTCAGTGTGAACTTCAACAAAGAGATAGGAAACATAAAAAATGAGATAGAAAACATAAGAAAGAACAAGTCACAAATGAGGAATACCTAAACTAAAATGAAAAAACATTAACGTGGAATCAACGAAGGATTAGAAGCAAAGGACAGAATCAATGACCTGGAAGAAAAGGTAGTGGAAAACAACCCATGAGAACCGCAAAAAGAAATAAATAAGGATAGTTTAAGGGACCTCTGGGACAACATCAACTGTACCAACATTTGCATCATGGGAGTACCAGAAGGAGAAAAGAAAGAACAAGAGATGGAAAACCTATCTGAAGAAATAATGACTGAAAACTTCTTTAACCTGGCAAGAAAGAAAATAGATGTATAAGGCTAAGAAGTACAAAGAACCCCAAACAAGATCAATCCAAAGAGGCCCACATGAAGATGATATCATAATTAAAATGCCAAAGGTTAAAGACAAAGAGATAATCTTAAAAGCAGCAAGAGAAAGACAGTTACTACAAGGGAACTCCCATAAGATACTAGCTGATTTCTCAACAGAAACTTTGCAGGCCAGAAGGGATTGGCACAAAATATTCAAAATGATGAAAAGCGAGGACCTACAACCAAGGTTACTCATACCACCAAGATTACCATTGAGACTGAGGGAGAGATAGTTTCCCAGATAAAATAAAACTAAAAAAGCTCATCACGAGTAAACCAGCATTACAGGAAACATTAAGAGAAAAAACAATATGAAAATTATGAACAAAAAAAATGCAGTAAAGAAAGCAATTCTCACTGACAAGGCAAACAAAATAAAAGCAGTGGATCAAGTAACTATAAAGCTAGCACAAAGGTTAAAAAGTGATTGTGGGTAATTACAAAAATAAATTAAGAGATACACAAAAACACACACAAAAGAAATAAAAAACATGACAAAAAAAAATATGAGGGGAGGAGAGTAAAAATGGTAGAGATTTTAGAATGTGTTTTAACTTAAATAGACTGCTATAAACAGCCTGGTATATATGATGCACATGGTAACCAAAAAAACAAAAATCTACAAAGATTTATACAAAAAATAAAGAGAAAGGAATCTAAAACACTACAGAAAGCCATCAACATACAAGAGAATAAGGTAGCAACAGAGAAAAACTAAAACCAGCCCTGGCCGGTTTGGCTCAGCAGTTAGAGTGCCCGCCTGCGGTCCGGAGAGACCCGGGTTCGGTTCCCGCTAAGGGCATGTACCTTGGTTGCAGTTTGTCCCCGGCCCTGGTTGGTCGTGCGGGTGGCAGCCACTCGATGTGTCCCTTTCACATCGATGTTTCTCTCTCTCTCTCCCTCCCACTCTGTCTGTACAAAAAATGGAAAAATGTCCTCGGGTGAGGATAAAAAAAAAAAAAAAAAAAGAAAAACTAAAACCATTATAAAACAATTACTAAAATGGCAATGACCACATACTTACTTTAAATGTAAGTAATTATGTACTTTAAATGTAAATGGGCTAAATGCTCCAATCAAAAGATACTATATACAGAAATTTCACTAAAAAACTATTAGAATATGTGAATTCAGTCAAGCAGCAGGATACAAAATTAATATTCAAAAATTGTTTGCATTTTTATACACCAAAAACAAACTATCAGAAAAAATTAAGAAAACAATCCCATTTATAACTGCATCAAAAAAGAAAAATAAATTTAAGCAAGAAGGTAAAAGACCCATTCTCTGAAAACTGTAAGGTACTAAAGAAAAAAATTGAAGAAACAAAATAAATGGAAGCAAATACCATGTCTCATGGACATGAAGTAGTAACATCGTTAAAATGTCCATCACTACCCAAAGCAATCTACAGATTCAAAAGTAACCCCTATCAAAATATCAATGAAACTTAAAACATACAATCCTAAAATTTATATTGAACCATAAAAGTCCGTGAATAGCCAAAGCAATCTTTAGAAAGAAGAACAAAAATGAAGCTATCACTCTCTCTGATATCAAACTGTACTACAAAAGGCTATGGTGATCAAAACAGCATTATAGTGGCATAAAAACGGACATACAGAACAATGGAACAGAAGAGGGAACCCAGAAATAAACCCATTTCTATATGGTCAATTAACATATGACAGAAGAGGCAAGAATATACAATGGGGTAAAGATGGTCTCTTCAATAAACGGTGTTGGTATATCTGAACAAATTTATCCAAAAAAGAAAGAAAAAGAAACTAGACCACTTTCTTACACCATATACAAGAATAAACTCAAAATGGATTAAAGAGTTAAACCATAAAATTCCTACAAGAAAACATAGGCAGTAAACTCTATGACATCGTTCTTAGTTGTCTTTTTTTGGATATGTCTCCTTGGGAAAGAGTAACAAAAGAAAAAATAAACAAATGGGACTACATCAAACTAAAAAGTTTTGGCACAGAAAAGAAATCATGAACAAAACGAAATGACAACCTACTGCAGGAGTAAAGATATTTACCAAGGATACACCAGATAAGGGGTTAACATCCAAAATATGTAAGAAACTTATACAACCTAACACCAAAGAAATAATCTGATTAAAATTGGGCACAGCACATGAATAGCTAGAATAACTATTTTTCCAAAGAGGACACAGAGATGGCCAATAGACATATGAAAAGATCCTCAATATCACTAATCAACAGAGAAATGCAAATTAAAACCACAATGAAACATCACCTCACACCTGTCATAACGGCTATCATCAATGTCCAAAATCAATAAACAACAAGTATTAGCAAGGATGTGGAGAACAGGGAACCCTCTTGCACTCTCTGTGGGATTGCAAATTGGTACAGCCCCATGGATGCTCTTCAAAAAATTGAAAATAGAACTACCATATGACTCAGCAATTTTGCTTCTGGGTATTTATCTGACAAAATCCAAAACACTAATTTGAAAAGACATATGCATCCCTATGTTCATCACAGCATTATTTACAATAGCCAAGATATGGAGGCAAACATAAATCTCCATCGATAGAAGAGACGGTATATACAATGGAATATTATTCAGCCATAAAAAAAGAGCAAAATCTTGCCATTTGTGACAACATGAATGTACCTAGAGGGTATTACACTGAATAAGACGAAGAAAGACAAATACCATATGATTTCACTCACATGTGAAATTTAAAAAACAAACAAACAAAACAGAAACAAACTCACAGATGCAGAGGACAAATTTGATGGTTGCCAGTTGGGAGGGGTTAGAGAGATGGGTGAAAAAGGCAAAAGGATTAAAATATACAAATTGCCAGTTATAAAAACAGTCACGGGGATGTAAATTACACCATAGGGAATACAGTCAATAATACTGTAATAACTATGTATGGTATCAGGTGGGTAATTTGAATTACTGGGGTGATCACTTAGTAAGTTACATAAATGTCTAATCACTGTCATATAAGTGAAACTAATGTAATATTGTATGCCATGTGTAATTGAAAAAAAATTTTAAATAAAGATTACCATGTGACACCTACACAAAAAATAGTTATATGATGAGGGAAAAAAACTTGTGTATCTCCCTTTTTTCACTCTAGTCATTTATTTTAATGCATGCCAATTCAGATATTGTCAAGTAAAATCTTTATAAAAAGATATTACAAAAGCCATAAAAAGCTTTATGAAAGATAACGGCTTGGAATAAAAGGTACTGAAAGCTCCCACGACTGTCATGCTGCTGTGTGGCTCATTACTGCTGTCTAAGACAAGACAGAGTCACGATGGAATATCCCTGAACAATTTCTGAGAGGTAAGTAGCACTGTTTCTCCTCTATTTGGTTAATGAGTATTGCTCTACTGGGACAGCCCAGCAATCACATACCATAATAGCGCAGCAACTATTAACCACCAGGGGTCTCCTGTGAAACAGCTCAGGAAAAACGTCAATGAGCCCTGCTGTGGGATTCCTAGCTCAGCTCAAAGGCAGAGAGCAAATAATAACTAAACTGAGACCTCCAAACTCACTGTACAAGAGCCTTCTGATGGAAACAAATTTCCTTCTTTATCCTCACATTCTGGTTCTGAATCAGCAATCTAGAGGTGACAGGTAACAGAAATTTCATCAATGTCCAAAAATCTAATCCTTTATGCTATGAATCCTATAAATCTTATGATTTAAATCTTGGTGTTTTTAACACTGTGTTAGAGGGGGAAAAAAAATCGTGATAATTATATCTACGTGGCCCTTAAACTCAACCTTTCTTGGTTCTTATGAACATTGTTAATGTTAATCTTGCTGTGAGGGTCAGGGTCATAGCAGGAATATTAAGACATGCTTCAAGACCGATTTGAGAAGTGCTGTCCAACAAAAGGGGAGAATGTCTGCATTCATGCTCCTGTGCTCCTGTGAGCATCTCAAAAGGCAGGGGTCATATGCTGCTCTCTGTATCCCTGGGCCAGAGTAAATGCTGAATGACTGGTTAGGTGTTTGGCACTTAAAGGACAACTCTTATGAGGAAGAAAGGCTAGGAAAAGAGGGGACATCACAAAAACAGGCTGGACTTTCTGGCCATCACAGGCTCCATTCTTTCAGAAAAATTCAGAACAGACCCATTTGTACTAGGAAACTAAAGTATGAGATAGTTAAATCCTGCATGTGAAGCATTTAAGATTTATTTATGATGATTAAGGTTTTCTCAATTTCTACACTTTAGTTTCTGTTCTTTATCCACCCTTGAACTTGCCTGATATCATCATCCCCGTTTTCTTTTTCTAAAAGCATCTAACAGCCTTTCTAAAGGTCTCTTCCAAAACAATGCCAAGTATTTAAAGTCCGGACATCAAGCAAACTTTTATAAAAGGCCCCTCTCCTTGAGCAGGGATGCCCTCAGGCTCAGTGCTGTCCTGGGCCCCCAGGAGGTGGAGGCACCAGCTGAGTGGTCACCATTCAGCAAGTTCTTGGGGCCGGCAAATTCTATTTGTAGAAACAACCCTACCTGCTTCTTTCATAAATTTACCACATAAATGCCTCCACTTTTCTATCTTGTCTTATATCAAAAAATTCTACTGGGATGCAAAAAATTATTATATACTTGATTCTTTTCTTCACCACTGCAACTTTTTTTTTTAAAAAAGGGTACTATGTTATAATACAATGTTATATTCTAGCACCTAGCCCCTCTGTTTGGTTAATAGCTGCCACTCAAAATATTTCTGAAAGACAGAACTGATTCTCTCCATGATAACTCTTACTTGAAATGTACTATTTATAACTTGATGTTTCATGGACATTTGAAGTTCCCAAGAATTACATTTTTAAAAGATGTAACAAACTATTACTGAAATTAGTGTTAAATCTGTAAGATCTTTTTTAAAAAAATTATCTTTACCCAAGGATATGTTTAGAGGGAGGGGGAGGGGACGAAACATTGATTGACCAAGGATCAAGCCTGCAAACTTTTGGTGTACAAGACGATGCTCCAATCAACTGAGTCACTCGGTCAGGGCTAATCTGTAAGGTCTTAACTGCACTACAGGGAATTATCTCTCATTCTTCAATAGTATATTACACTGCTCACACAGACATGCAGAGAGGGATGTAAGCAAGGCATGATTCTCAGACTTACCTTGCTATGTGGGTCAGCAAACATCCGTGTGAAGATTTCACACAATCTTTTCAATTCTACTCGACTTAAAAATGAAAATAAATGCACTTTAGTAAGACAACACTGAAATTAGTTACCTAATTTCTTTATAAGTCCTTTTATTTCAGTCAACTATATAAGCTTTATAGAATTTTTATATAACAAAGTCTTTTACACACAAAAAAACCTGTATTATTTAACTCATGATGAAATTAAAGAGGAACATAAAACTGTAATACTTTTGTTTTTATTTTAAAATGAGGAAACTACATCATAGAGAGTGCCTAAATCCACACAGATAAATGCTGTTTACTTCAGTCCAGGTCTGTTTTCCACCTGCCACAGATGAGAGGCAACGGGATCAACTGGGAAAAGCATGTATTTTGGGGTCAAGCAGATCGGAATTTTAATCTCAGTTCTGCTACAAAGTACTCTGATATCTTTACATCCATGTAAGTCACACAGGGTAAGAGCTGCCTGGCTGCTGTGAGGATTAGAGAAGACAACACATCCTTCCTACAACTGTACCTAAGACAAAGCAAACACGCATTTCATTTTAGGGCCCCTCTGCCTTTTCTTATCCTTAACTGTACTACTGAGTCCTATTTTTACTTCAAAGCTTGATTAGAAGTGCCACCTCCTTCCCAAATCATACGTGAGTAATCCTCCCTCATCATACACATGATGCAATCTAGATTAGACCAAAGCTAATCAATAGATTTCTAGAGGTTATTCAATGAGTACTTGGTAAACACTAATGTTCAAGAAACTGAGACCAGCAGAATTGAACAGATTCTTGAAGAAATAATCACAACAAATCATCCTCATTGTGTTTTTTGACAATCATTAGAGGTCAGAAGCTACCTGGCTTTCAGAAAGCATATGACAGAACTTCTCATTACATCTTCATGAACAGAATGGAATTCAGGGTTGGGGAAAGAGTCAGCAGGTGGGACTCAGTAGGGTCGAGTCAGACTGACTTGGTAGCCACACTGCATAGTGATTCCTTTGTCAGTGCCCACTTAGCTTTGCAGAACCCATCTAGGACCATAAACCTATCTGGTACCATAAATTATCTTTAAAAAAATTATCTAAAGAGTATAATACACTATATGTCACAGATTCTAAGTTGCCCACTTTTTCACATTTTAACATCTCTGTAATTGTGAGATTCATCTTATAATCAATGATGTATTAGTAATGTCCGGTTTCATAAGCAGCATTTCTTCTTAGAGGGATATAAAATAATGGTGTGTCAATGGTGCCTTAGATTTGATCTAAATACAGCATAAAAACATACTTTTTTGGTGTGTGTGTAATACTTGCCCATGTTAGAAAATTAATGACATAAAGAATATAAAGAAAAAAAAGCAAAAATAATCAATCCTAGAGATAATATTGTTACTATTAGTACTCCGTTTTAGTTATCTCTTTACCACACACATTTATAAGCTACATGTATGTACATGTGCATTAAAAATATTTAGACCGAGACTGCTATCATCTTATCCACACCCTAAAGTGTAATGTACCATACCAACCTGCAGAGCTTTATTTTATTGTCTTTTTCCAAAGTGGCTGTGCCATTAGTTTCTTTTCCCATCAACTATGAGTGACATTTTCTAGTTTTATTTTCACCTAAATTGCAACCTGTTTCAAGATTTCTCAAATAAGAGCTACTAGACAAATGTGAACCACAAGGGAACCAAATGTATTTATAAATCTAATAAACTACAAAGTATTTGCCAGATATTTCAAAGTCTCTGGAAGGCAAAGACTAGGTCTCGATCAGCTCAGACCTTTAGTGCTGAGCTCTGTAAGGATCATAAATGACAAGGAACCCACTTACACTCCTGATGAGGACAGTACAGGACTCAAATACGGCTCACAACCTTGGTCGCTGTCCTCACCTCAGTGTTCTTTGGCTTTTCAGTAAGTTCTGCAGGCCCAGAAGCCCTTCTTTCCTTTCTGACCAGTTTGAACTGGCACAGTGGTTGAGAACTTCTGCTACATCCTCAGTCTGCCGCAGATAGTGGGGAATGCCACCATTCCTGGACCCGTACGAGCGCTCAGAGCAAACACTCGAGGCATCGCTGTTGGCATCGTCGTCAGAATACATCCCATATGGCTCATATCTCCTCCTCACAGGCTTCTTCTGCCAGGTCCAACAAGGGATGGGGTGATGGAGGAAGGAATGGAAAGATAAAATGACCGTGAGTCACACCAAACAAAACCACCACCAACAAAGAGTTACATGTAAAAAAAAACACACACAGAGATGTGGATGCACCACACTTGCCCTGTGTTTACAGATAAGGGAATAAAAACAGAAGAGCAGACTTCCGGTAGATACAGTAAGTAATAAGCAGAGCAACCTGTAGCAGAGAGAAAAGAGTATGGTCTCTAGGCCTGTGTGGACTTTTCAGTAAGACAGACTTAGGCTGTAATCCTGCTGCCACCACTGGCTGGCTGGGTAACTCGGGAAGCCTCCTGCCCTATCTGCTTTAGCTTCCACATCTTTGAGATAATAATGACACCTCTCCAAGGTTTGTTAGAATTCAGTGGAATTACACGTTAACCTGGCTCAGCACCTGACACAATGCAAGTTGTACACCCACAGCCCCTTCCCAATTAAAAAACTAATATATCTTGAGCATGCTCTATGGGTAAATTATTTTGAATAGCCAAGCTTCCTTAAAGTCTGAAACTGAAATGTCAGTAACTGGGTATCCTATGTACAAGGATTCCTCAATTATCTGAGCCACTTTTATTAAGGACTTAAAGTTTTACAGCACTAATGAGCTTCCTGTAGACTATACTTTCTCTTGCACTGAATATAAATAAATACAGCAACAGCTAAATAAAATTGATAAAAATTTGTAAGATACAATTTAAGAGAAAAACAAATAGTTATTGGCTTACACTGTACAAATGTAATTTTCTAGTAATATGGCTTTTACTTACATCCCAAATAGCTCAGGACAATTCTGCCTTATGCCTACTTTCCCAGCATAATTAATAACCCCCTTCCACTCTCAAAAGTATGATCACCTTACTTATACATAAACTAGATCTCTAAAATAAGAAAAATGTCGAATATATCCATTCATGAAATAATAACGACATAAGAGTAGACACAAATGGGGTTAAATAAATAAAATAAAACAAAACTACTGGGAAAAGGCGCAGAGCTTGACATTCAAAATAAATACTAAAACAAAGAAAACAAAACAAAACAAAGAGAGGTGGCTCACACCATACTAATAAAAGCCTCACCAGATTCAACAGTATCACAATTCAGACCAGAATTTCTATATTGTACTACGGTTTTTGTTGCTTTCACTAGCTCCTAAAGGAAATATACTAGCAACAGAAAAAATAAAATTGTAAAACAAAAGGTAAAGCACTGGTACCTTGCTCCTGGAGTCTCCTAACAGCTGTAGGCAGGAAAATATTGAAGGATGGGGAAAAAGCATAGAGAATTATGTCAGAAGCATATGTGGGGATTGTTCTTGCAACAAAAGTGTACAGCAAAACATATCTTAGCAAACCAAAAATACAGGTTAGCAAGCGATTCATATCAAGTGAATAATAATAAAGAATGCTTTCATAATGATATTTCCTAACCTTCCTAGACTTCTTATAAGACCTTCTGTGCTTGCTGTAATTCTCTGCTAAAAGCTCCCCCATGCCCTGGCCGGTTTGGCTCAGCGGTTAGAGCGTCGGCCTGTGGTCCTGAGAGACCCAGGTTCGGTTTCCGCTAAGGGCACGTACCTCGGTTGCAGTTTGTCCCCGGCCCTGGTTGGGTTGTGTGGATGGCAACCACTCGATGTGTCCCTTTCACGTCGATGTTTCTCTCTCTCTCCCTCCCTCCCACTCTATCTGAACAAAATATGAAAAAATGTCCTCGGGTGAGGATTAAAAAAAAAAGCTCCCCACACCACTGAGGGACATCTCTAAAGTCACCATCAATTCGGTAGTCTACTGCTATAGCCATTCTGTCTGTCCCGGGGCCTCTATCTTGTGAGAGAAGAATTATGTATCATTTTGCGCTTTCTCTTCTGAAGCTGGACAACTGGAAAAAGCAAGCAGTTTAAACAAAAAGTAAATAAGGTAACGAGAGTGTAAATGGAGCTAGAGCTCAGAGAAAAGGCCAAGTCAAATAGAGCCTAGGCTTAGACTCCCAAGTCCTGCTCTGCCTTCTAGAACTTCGTACACAGTCCCTCACACAGTTCTTTAGAGAACTAAGGAACTCCCCCGCCTTAGCTGGAAGTTCCATTTAACTACGGATTGGCACATCCATCATTTCCCACCCCTCTGACCTCCACTTCCTGGGGTCTCTGAAGAAATAAGAAACAGAATCTAAATGCTGCAACTTGGAAGGAAAAACAGCTTCACAGAATTCTGTTCTAGCTCGTGACTCTTATGTTAAAGGTATGATTAGAACAAGTACCCTCAACTCCAGTTATCTGCCAGAAAAAAAGGCCCTCCTACATACAAGGCTGATGAAAGAGCTGGCCAGGCAGCCCTTGGTTTCAGGGAGAGCATTATGACAGCAGCACACTGTTTGGTCATAGCCGCTTGTCAAAGAAAACTGACTGGGCAAGAATAAATGAGGGAGAAACAGGCACAGGCAAAAGTCAGAATCACTGTGGCCACAGACTACAAATTTTGATCACACAAAAATGGCTAATTTAAAACTTCAGGGTCTGAACGTAGGCTATTTCCTTAGAAGAGGATAAATCTTCCAACAGCACAAGCACAGCCAGAGATCAGAAAGTTCTAAAGAATAACTAATTTAAATACGGAGCACACAAACCAAAATATGCAAGAGGCTGTGTTCCTACTTGCTGAACTGGATCTTTAACATGCAATTTGACCACAAACAGATTCTACTAGGGGCCTTTTTGCTATAACCATAAATGAGGGTAAAAACCACTAATCACTTTATATTGTTTTTTTTTTTTAGATATTACATTATAGTGATGCAAAAACATACCCCACCAGTGCTTCATATTCTCAAAGGGTTAATCTTAAATTTGGGGAAATTTTCCTTAAATAAAACTTACAAACTCATTTAAAAAAACACACACAACAAACAAAATTATCTGGGACTAGTGTAGTAATGGAATAAATGCAGATTTTTAAACCACAAACTCTATTGCCCATTATAATGATTTGTTTAGGTTATGCCATCAAAGCTTGTAAAGCAATAGAAGCAAGAGAATGGGAAAAAGGAGATGCTGAAAAGAAAAGAAGAAAAGGACACCCAGTAACATCAGAGAGGCCCAATGTCATCACAACATCCTTGATACTCAGGCGTGCAGAAGATACACTTGATGCTAATAATTTCTGTAAGGCCAATTTTCACTATGTACAGAGAAAAGTTTACGAATAAAACAACAATATAAATTTACTCAATATTTACCCAATTTTAAAGAGTGTCAAAGATGATTTAGTAACCTGATTTGGAGGCAATTTTCTGTTAAGACAGAATAATGAGGATGAGTACATCAAACAGACGACACACACCATGATTCTTACCAAAGCATCAGCAACAGCAGCTTCAAGATCTGTACTTGTGCTTAAAACACGCATGGCATTCACAGAACCAGGTATTCTTCCTGCCTGGCCAAGCCCAAACCGGTCTATTTAAGAAACAAAAGCAAAAGATATGTCACTTTAATTTACATTTTCTTAATTCTTTGCAAGGGTTCCTGCCTCTTCCCACCTACTGAAGAGAGGCACTGAAAAATTTCTAGTCACCTTTAACTACATTTGGCTTGTAATTTTAAATACACTTGTTTACCAGTGGCAGAGATTAGGTTGCTCACACTTAATACCATCGTGCCACAAAGCATCCTGACAATTGAAATGGTTCTTTAATAATATTTTATTTTTGAAAGGTGCTGGGACATGGGGGAGAGAGTAACTTATTATAGAAGGGGGCTGATCTATGAGTTGAGTTTTTCATCTATTCAGCACTCCCTCTAGACTCTAGAGGCAAGTAGCCCTGAGGTTTACTCAAACTAATTAGAAAGCTTCAAGGTTTGACAAATGAGTTCTAATGCAATGTGCAATAAAGTCAAAACTTGAAACAAATGTAGTCAATGGATCTCTGTGCAAATTTTTTTAGTGTCACTACTATTTAACTATTATTAATTAAACTCAATTAATTTTAAGCATATGTTCATCATTAATTCCTTTATCACCAAAGGTTAATTTAAAATCAATTTATTAAAACTCTTTAATAATCATCACAAAAAGCTAGCATCTTCACTGCAAACAATTAATAATTCAGATGCTATTGTACACATTTTTCCTGAGTCCCTCAAAGGATTTTTAAAGAATAGTCTTTATACATGTAGACAAAATGGATAAAATCCAATGGATTTAAAACATATTTTACAGTTCAAACAAGTATACTAAGCTTGCTAATGATCATGGACAATGAAAAATAGCTTTTCAAAGTTCCTTTAAATCAGCTGACGAGCCTCCCTTAAGAAGTACTGAGATTTAAACTATAATAGAAGGTCCATGTAAATTATTTTTCACAAGTGTATTACACTACTTTCTTATTTAAAATGCTAAGATATAAAAAAACCTTTGGAAGAAAATGTTAAGATAAAAAATGCTTTCTTTTTATTAACAAATAAGATACTGGACAGGGAAAACCTGTTACTAGCCATATGAAGCATTTAGAATAAAAGGAAACCTAATACCTGTTTTACATAATTGATCTTTCCTATAAAATTTATATATAGATATATAACACTAAGTATTTTAGATATGTAACAAACATTGCCTACAAAACTGGTAAACTTTAAAAGTGAAGTGTTATTTAGCTTTTTTAAATTGTCAGTTTCAAAACAATACATCTTCCATCGCCACAGAAAGAAAAAAAAAAATGTAAACACTGCTAATCAAAAAAGTTATACAGTCATGAATTTTTATAAAGAAATAAAAATTGTATGTTATACTACCCCCTTTTTTAATGCACTTGCTAATCATAGTGAATGTCACCTTAGCCATTTAAGGCTATTTTAATGTGCCATATAAACTAAAAGAGAAACCACAGAATTATATCTATATATTTATATAGATATAAATTATCAGTTGCAATATAAAATAAGTATAAATTTGAGATTTATTGCGTACACAGTTTCATAAATAATCTTTGTTCATTTTCTCCCCATTAAAAAAGGGTAGATAGTAAGGGATTTATGAGTAAAAAAATGAAAGTAATTCAGTTAAAAGCCATTTAAAAATTACCCAGCATGAACTTAAAGTCTACATAAAATTTTTAAAAATCAGATCTCATGCCAGCAATTCTTGCTCCAGGGATAGTAATGATTTTTCAGACACAAAAATTAAACTCTAAGAACAATGCAGTTTTTCTTATTTCCCAGATGCATACAGTTTTGTTATACACAGTGACTGCAGATCATTCTACACATATCATGGATAATCTGAAATCCAAATCTTAAGAGGTCTGGATCTAAGCAAAATTATACGCTTTTTATTTCAACCAGAGCAAAATCTGTTCTACATTCTCACTGCTCTGATACTATTATGAAGCTCCATTTTCCAAGAGATGGATACATATGACTGTATCCTAAGTCTGGTTCACAACCTTCAGGGGAATGGCTAATCAGAGCATATATTTTAAAAATGCATAGCTGGCTTCATTTAGAGAGAAATAGAGAAAATATCTAATTCAGTGAATTGGTCACAGTTGCCACCTGTGAGTTAGTAAGAATGTGTCTTATTCAAAACTATAGTCATTAGGGATTGTTAGCATATCAAAATGATGCCAGTTAAATCTGGCAAACTGATATATTATTGTATGCTTACTTTTGCCCCAATGGCTAACCATTGAATTTTGGGGGTATTGTCAAAATGGGGCTGAGATGGAATATTTGGGGGTCCAAAGGCTGCAAAAGCTACCACTGGCCTGACTACATCATCTGAATCATGATCTTGTTTTTCCATAGAAGTTTTAGGACAATCCATTTGTTTGTATACATATAAAATTATTATACATGACATAATTTGGTAACTAAACAGTACCTCCAAATTAGAACTTGACACTAATAACTAACATTAATAATTACCACTTTATTGGGAGCAACAACTTTGGGGATGGAAGACTCTGCTGGATGATACTCACACCCCATTCCCCACAGGGACCCTTCTGATACCTAGAGTTTGGGTTGCTTTCCTGGGGGAGGGAGCAAAAAGAGGGTGAGATGTGTTTCCCCATTTTTTCTTTTTCTTTTTTTTTATTTGCTTTGTTTTAACATAAATATGAACACTGGAGAAATAATGTTGTCAAACAGGCGATAAAGCATCTACGGCCTAGTAACAGAACCATAAACATTCAACAACTTAAAAAAATAAAAGCACGTTGGGGAAAACAAAATGAGGTGCATACATGCCAAGTGCTAGCCAACACTGATGAAAATAAATGTTTAAATGAGTGTGCAACTAGAACATATGAAGAAGCCGAGTCATGCAGTTAGCACTTGTTCACCTGACTGCCCAACAGATTCAGCAGTGGAGAGAGCACTAGTGGACCTGGAATGACGTCGAGAGGCTGCAGGTAAAAGGAACGGTAACACCCACAGGATTAACACAGAAGAACCCGAGACAGAAAATGCCACAGTCCAAAGAAAATGCAGGGACTGCTGCCAACAGGCCACGTTTTCTCATGGAAAGAAATGGTGCTAGATATGAATGGATAGCAAGTGCCAGTCCCCCAATTCCCTGGCAGCCTGCTGGCTCTCACACAGCTATTAAACACACAGGCACAAGAAAGGCACTCTTTAAAGTGTTTCTTATGCATCAGACTCCAGGATGATATTCACGCCATGAAGCCTCTATCAGCCATTATGAAAATATGCAACATGAAGAACATCAGGAGTCACAGAGCACCATCTAAACCCCAGAGTAAAACAGCAGGAAGATGGGTTAACTCAGCCCACAAGATGTCTCATCAGTATGTGATGCATATGCAACCATGCACCAAAAACAAAAGCATAGAATTCATAATGTTATTTCAACAGAAACAGAATGAAATCACAAGAAGGGGGCTCAACAACTAGAATTCCATTTTCCCCAAACTTTTGGTGTTCTGTTGCATGAATATCCTAATTAATGAAATTACTTTTTAGTTATTGAAATTTAGCTTTAAGTTTATGGACTTCCTTGAAGAGGCATTTGCAGTACTATGGTTGAGCACTAGCTCTGTAATACAACTGGGGACAAATTCTGGTTTGATCACAACAAGCTGTAAGAACTTGAGCACAGTACTTAACATCTCTGTGTCTCAGTTTCCTCATCTGTAAAATGGTGCTAATAACAGTACCTACCTCTTGGGAGTTCAAGAGAATTAAGAGATCATACATAAAGCACTCAACACAACGCCACGCACAGAATAAACAGTGGTTAATAGCCATCATAGTGGTGCTGGTGGCGGCAGTCATAGTTTAAATTCCAAATGACATTTAAACATTAAATATTGTTTTATTAGCAAGTATTCATAAGAACTATATTAATGTATCAGCTGGAGGAAATACATGCTAAACTCCTTCCTCATGTGGAGACAATACCTTTTAGGATTATGAAATATAGACTTGATTCAAAACATGAACTTTTTTGACCAGAGTGCCACACAATATATGACTTTTCTTTACCCCAGGAAAACAAAACCAGATCATATGCTGCTATTTGTTACTCTGAAAATATGATGACTGCACCACAGAAAATCCCTCAGTTTAACAGGTAATGCCAAGCAGTGCTACTTTGCACACATATATTAGAGCACAGCATCCTGTACCTTTTAACATTCAGAGTCATCAAATATCAAAACCTAGTCAATATAATTTTATTTATTAAAGATCATGTCACTTTATGAAATGCGCATATTTGTAGTATATGTGGTACTAAACAGCAAAGGCTACCTGGGTCAGTAAGGACACATTTTTATCAGCTTACAAAAAAAAAAAAAAATTAAAAATTCATAATTCCTCAAGCAGCACAAAAATAAATAAGCAATCTCTAAAACAGATACTATAATCACTTTACTCAAATTAGAAAGACTGCAAAATATTTTGTAAGACTGAAGCAAAACAATCATTTTGTTATACAAACTTATTAGTATTGCTTAATAGTTTAAACCAAATATAACTTTTAAGGGATACATAATCTAAGTTTCTTATAAAGCTGTCCCTTGATTTTATTTCAATAAAATATTCTATAGTAAACCTGTCATGTAATGAGTCCTTTGCCACGATCTCAGTCAATACCCGACAATAGAATCCAAGGTGAACCCATTTATGTCAAAGCCCTACTTACAAATCCTAGAGCCCTTAATAGCACTTAAAACTTGTCACTATAACCATAAAAATATATATTCATACCATTAAAATAGTCCAAAACAATCTTGTGATTAAAAATGCAAACTTAAAGCCAATATATAATCACTGACACATAATTACTTTCACCTTCCATCCTTTCTGGAAAGTGAAGGTTGGCTGTTTCAACTGAGGGACACTCACACAAAATCTTACTAATTTATAAAGGGAGAAGAAAATAATTATTTAAGTGAATAAGAAAAAAAAGAAAACTTCACATTCTTTGAAGGGCTTAGTAAATTCCTCTGGGGACAACTACTTTCTGGGGCTCATCTATGAATTCCTAGGTCCTAGCTCCAAACCTTGAAATCACAATTCAAAAACATCGCTGCCCTGGCTGGTTTGGCTCAGCAGTTGGAGCGTCGGCCTGCGGTACAGAGAGACCCGGGTTCGGTTCCCGCTAAGGGCATGTACCTCGGTTGCAGTTTGTCCCCGGCCCTGGTTGGTCGTGCGGGTGGCAGCCACTCGATGTGTCCCTTCACGTCGATGTTTCTCTCTCTCTCTTCCTCTCTCTCCCTCCCGCTCTATCAGAACAAAAAGTGGAAAAATGTCCTCGGGTGAGGATGAAAAGAAAAAAAAAACAAAAAACATCGCTAAGCACTTTCCTTTGCCTAAGCCTGGAGAGGCCTCACACACCACGTTTAACACATTTCAGAGGAACAAATGAAAGACATTAAATTATCAGAACTGCTTTCAAATGAGGCAAGGTAACAACCAAGCTTTGAAGCCAGACCATTACTTAGCTGTATGACCTTGAGAAAGAAGCTGAATCTCAAGTCCATTTTGTCATCGTAACAGAGGGATAATACCCGTTCCAGAGGGACCTCAAGGGTTTATGCCTATCGACTGCTGAGAATGGTGCCAGGTATACTTGAGCACTGTTGTTCTTGTGGAACAAAAGTTTTATAAACAAATTTAACTCATGGAGGGGGAAAAAGGCATAGTATAAAAATTCATCTGAAAAGATGTACCACTGCCCCTGAACACAACAGAAGACGTGCTGATGCTGGAGTCCCCTGGGAAAGGGAAACAGCTGCATCCATACCTTCTGCCTGGCGGAAGCAGCTCTGCATCACAGCACCCTGGGCTGTCAGAAGACACAGAGCAGATCCACTTTCACCACAGACTGAAAACAGACTAGATCCGGCAGCTCCAGGGTGAGGAATATCTGGCCCCAGGGCCGCTTCAGGCCCTTGAAATCAGTACCAGCTAACATCACATGCATCACCAAATGAGCCTGACCAAATATAGCGGGCTAAATTTTAAGTTGATAAGTTTGTATGGCCTGCAAATGATGTTATAAATATCCATTTGGCCCTTGACAGAAAAGAGGTTCAACAGTGCTGCACGACTGACCTGGTCCACAGACCACATGCTGGATTACAAAGGCTGCATCCACGGACAATAACAAAAGTACCAGGATGTGTCTGAAATATAAAAACTGAAATGCCTCTAGAGACTAAGTACACAACAAACAGACGAAATTGTTCACTTATGTAATACATCTTTCTAGAAGGTCAAATAGTGAGCAGGATGCATAGAAATAGAGCCTTACCTTAAAAGAAAAAATCAACAGCTCATTCAGAAAAGAAATCCTTTCTGCCACCCTTGACTGGCTGGGAATTCTGAGCTAATGCTTCAGAGTGCCGTGAAAGAGCTGCCGCGTGCCACGTAAGCTGCCCCAGTGGGTGCTCATGCTAGCAGGCAGGTACAATTCCTCACAAAGGCATCTCTCACTAAGACAGATGAGCCATTCATTATCTGTTACCTGCTCTTCCTCAGAACTTCATGAAGGATAAAGGGTCATAAAATAATATATCTAGACTTAGATTATTGATAATGATTGGGGAAAAAAGATACTGGGAAGAGTGTATGACATTAGAAGGCACTAGAAACAACTACTAAAACCTTATGCTTTTGACATTTTTATATTTGAAAGAACAATTAGTTGGATAATCAGAGTGAAATAAAAGACTCCTGCTGTCCACAGTTCCATGTAACAGCTTCAGGCCTGGACTTCATTGCTATAAAATGATTTCTACCTGCTGTGCTTATCAAGAAGAAACATACAATTGTACAGCCCTTCATATAATAAAGAACTAAGACACACTGCCTGGCCTATGTGGCTCAGTGGTTGAGCATCGACCAATATACCATGAGGTCACCAGTTCAATTCCCAGTCAGGGTACATGCCCAGGCTGGCTGTGGGCCTGATCCCCAATGGGGGGCATGCAGGAGGCAGCCAACTGATGCTCTCTCTCATCGATGTTTCTATTTCTCTCTCCCTCTCCCTTCCTCTCTGTCGCTAACATCAATAAAGAAAAAAAAATCTAGAAAGAACTAAGACACAATTACTGAAGAATACCAAACATTTTTTTAATGTAAAGTATGTGTTGACAGATGTCTCTGGGGACTAATAATTTGTACTATATAGAAAAGTAATTTGTATGTCCCTATTACAGAAAGGCAGAACTATTAAAACTAAAAAGAAAAGGTAAATAAAATGTTCTATAAAGGATATATGTTTCTTTTTGTCTTGTTTTCCTGAATCCTGGACAGTGTTAAAATATAAATTCTGGATATACGAAAAACTGAGGGTGGGGTGGGGACTAAACAGCCCCAGCTGGCACCTGGCTAGTAATCTGAGGTACCGTGTTTATATCACCCCATGGCCACCAGATATTGTCATGTTTTGTCCATTAGGTCACAGACGTTAAACAGCCTATTGAGCCCAGGAAGAATGAAAATATCTAATTAACAAGAAACATCATGAAGTTTTGCACTATGCTGCATACCTAAGCAACTTATCAAAAAGCTATTTTTAGACTGCTTTGAAGAAAGCTTTGAAATGACTCAGTTAACAAAAGCATGGCTAACATCTTCATTCATGCCGCTTTTTAAATTAATGTCATCACTCTAAAACTAAGCACAGTTAGTGTCCTAAACATTATTGTGATTTTACTGTTTTTCCTTCTTTGAATTGAATCATGTATGGCCTAATCTCTGGTAAAATTAACCCCAAATTGTAGAAATTCAATGAGTAACGATAAAGTCTGCATTAACTCTACTTTTAAGCAGCCATGGACTTGGGCTGAGCTTCATCTTATGTTAGAAATGACCACACAGATGGGCTTGCCCAGCAGCGAGGGGCCATACATAACAGCAGCACAGACTGAAGTGAGGCCTTTTCCTCTAATATAGAAAAACTGGAAATGGCTGGAACTCAGGCATGCAGAGGGGGACAACAAAGGGTAACTAAGGAAGAGGAAAGAAGAGAGGATCACGAGGACAGCAGAGGAGGAAAAGCAGGTCATTCCACCTGGCAGTGTCCGGGACAAGCATTTGGAGCAGGGAAAGGACTCTGCTCCGAGAGCCAGCGCCTCCGTGTACTCACCCAGTGGAGGGAAGCCCCGAGCAGGGCTCGTATCTCGGCTGCTCTCACGGCTGGTATCGCGGCTGCACCCCTGACTCATGCTGGGTCGAGGGATACGGCTGCTCCGTGCTAGTGTGCAGCATGAGGGGTTTCAGAGAAGGTGAACAAGTTTAATGAAGACAGAAAAACTCACAAAATGTCAGTCACATTCTATTCACGTAATCATGACACTGGCGACGCTGTGAGTCCTGACGACTGAGCACCTGTCCCAGCTACATCTCCCTGACAGCCATCGGGAGAAGGTCTGGACAAAAACCTGATTGCTCAATGCCTCAGGCAGCTGTGAATTCTGGTATGAAGGTGAAATAACACCAATACCCTAAATGCAAGAAATGAAGAGAAAGCTTGCAAAGAGCAAACTGGCTTCAGAAAATAAAAGCTCGGTCTTTTAGAAAGGATCAGTTTTTATGGCTTTAGCAAACTTCTCCACAGGAGGATAAAGGACCAAAGTCATTTTCATGTGCACTGGGTTCTTAGAAAGATACCTTAATTTGGATTAAAAACAAAATAAAGGTTCTGGTCACTGAAATCCATGAACTTACCTAATTAAGAGAGTTCACTCGTCCTGGCCTGGCCTTCCTTACAAAGAGAAGTCACAAGGACTGACACAACTAGAAAACCTGCACACTCGAGTAAGTGTGTAGATGGTTCAAACATATTTTATTATCTGAACCAACAGACAGGAAGAGTTGGGACTGCTATCTCTTTTTTACTGGTCCCAACGTTAATTCCTGCTTTTTCTATGGGAATCCAAAAACCTGCCTGTGGCCCCCACTCAAGCGCCTTCACTTATCCAGCCTTACACCCGTCTACTAGTATATTGACTGACAATTACAATATTTGTGTTAGAAGATCCCTCCACTGAACTAAAAATGGCCAGTTATTTTAGGATTATCTATGGATAATTTTATGACACTCACATAATAAAACACTGAAAACATGGTCACATGAATAGCCGAGGTCCAATATACCTTGGCTATAAAAGCTCAGAAAAGACCATTATGCCCTCATTTTTCATTTTAATTTGAGAAAACAGAAATATAGCTCTGGAAGAGTATTTGGAAACAACCTGGCATGCTGAATGTGTGCAACCACTGATATAATAACTGATAAATATTTCCATCTTGAGAGAATCTATTCTTCTGGACTGGGTAGAAATGCCTTCTTCAGAAATTTTGGAAAAAATAAACTTGATTCACTGATGTAAAAATATGGCTGATTTCATATCAATGAATCAATGAGCATAGTCTACTGTTTTAGAGCAAAGGTATATTTATTGCATGGCCAAACCATAACAAGAATATCTTACAAACCAGAATTATGAAGCCCCCTGAAGAATACAGAGGAGAAAAACCAACTAACTTTGGATTGTGGTCTTTCTTAGGGCTAGAGTTGAATTTGACCTTGAAGGCATGAAGCAAGGAAAGAGCGAGCATAGGAATGCGATCTGAGCAACAGTCAACACAGCTGCATCTGAAGTTGTCTAGTAATCCCTGAACTCTCCTCTCTGCCATAGCAACACGGAGTTCTGAGTTCCCATTCAAAGTAGCAATGGCTGTTTAATCAGCGATTTTGATAACATTCTAAATAGCTCCTACAGTGAGGGCAAAAGCAGCAGGGGCTAAATTAAACTCTTAAAAATCTAGGGAGTATCTGCTGACCCCACCAATATATGACAAGTTGCAAAGAACCTACAAAGCAGCACTGCTTATCCTCAGAGCATGGATCCCGCATCTAGTTTAGGAAATGACCTCTGCGGTGCCATGCTAACTCACTGACTCAGCCACTGAGCCTCTCCTTAGGAAGGTTAGGAAGGTACAGTAATGTCATTTAAAAGAGCAAGGTGCTGTGAGATAAGGTACATATGGTGAGTACTTCTGAGGTCCCTGATGAAAGGCGCAGATGGAAATCTTATCTATTGCACTGTCTACTCCAAAGCAAACAGTCAAAAGTTTTTAACATAGGCTATACTTAGTTGGGCATTTCCTTATAGTTCTTGCCTGATGACTTCTGACATTTTACCCAGCTCTCACTCCTTTCCTTAAATTAGCACACATGCTATAGCAACCGGAAATCCCTTCTCTCTCCCTGCTTTGTGAAGACAATAATGAGTGTGAAAAGGGATAAACAGATATGATCTGAAAAAACAATGTGCATAATTATTAATGAGGTTTAGCCTCCTAGTACTTCATCCAGAGAAAAAGAATTCTGTTTACAAGTTTGTACAAATTTTCCCATACAGTTGCCCCAAACCTCATTAAAGTACATCTAGTTGTGATATCAACAGTTCAAATGTTAGAAAACTTAAAACACTTATAATACCACTTTCCAGACCAATCTAAAAGGAGGATTTAAAACAAGTATGTAAATAAGTTGTTTTTACAAGGACTAATTAACTAAGTGGTCACAACCAAAAAACAATATACCAAATCAACTTCTTTTTATCGAGTGCCAAAAGTGAACGTTCTACATGAGAACATGGAGGAGAAGGCATAACTAAGCGGGAAGAAATGATAAAAACATACTTGCTACTTGAACTTTCTTAATGCAGCATATTTAGGTAGCTCTGGCGTTTTGTACATACATGAAATGCTAGGAAGCCTTGAGAAACCATTTGATTGGTTTTCATTTCTTGAGAGACACTTCATTCATTCCACCTTTATAGTGTTTTAAGTGTAATCCTGACTTTTGTCTTTTAAGGAAAAATTCTACCGGAACTTAAGCAGACGAATAAGAGGAATACTGAAAAGAACCAGAAGACATGAACTATCTCTCTAGTCTAGATATTGTTATGTTTCAGTCTTGCACACAGTAGTCCAATTTAACCACTGAAATTGATTATTAATTTTTCATTCTTTCAAACTATTTTAAACCAGAGAAACTGAAAACATTTTAAATATATACTCAGAATGTAAGCTGCAAAAAGTAAAATCTTCCTTTTAGCCTTTTTAATAGATGAGAAGAAAAAAATCCAAAGGCAAACTTCCAAAATATAATTGCTATATATATTAGCTATTTATGTGACTTTATTATTTGTCAAAATAGAATAAAATACAAAAATGAAATAATTTACAAATAGTACATTCTTCTATTTGGTTGAATAGTTTATGAAGGAATAAATTGCCAAGAAAAAAAGAGTACCAGGGTTTTATTGTTTCTCCTCTATTCTACAGGAATTACATCCTGTTTTGCTTAATAAATGCTAATGAAAAATGGCTTTGCCATCATTTTTATCACAAATGAAAAAAAGAAAAATTTACTTAAGAAATATTATTTCAAACAAAAAAACTATAGCTGAACCAAACATAATTTGTGGATAACAAAAAGTAATTCTCAGTGCAAATTCTAAGCCTAGTTTAGCTATAATTTAAACTATTAATTAGTTTGGGAATTATATAAAGTATTCTTAAGTATTTTGAATATATTTAAAGTTGCTATGCAATGAACAAAATATTTACACAAGCATATACTCATTATATACTAAATGATCACAGAAACATACAGTCTATTACAGAAAAATGCTAACATAGCTGACACCCTATAAAATGTAATCTCTAATATTACCACAGGCAGAAATAAGAATGTATAATTTATTCATATATGTATCTTTATATCTGTGTATATGTGCATATTCTCATACTATGCACACTATGCAGATGTTTAAATATCTTTTAAAATCAGAATTTTATGTATGACCTCTAAGCTTGACATATAACTAATCCCCTAATGAGCATTAAGGAAATAACTTTCTTCAAAATCATGTTTCAAATAAGAACTCTTTGGAAGGAAATGGGCTCCTATTTAGTTCTTACTGATGGATGATGTTTCATAGTATCTCTTTTAAAAGCTTATTAAATGTGGTCTTTTCAACTATCCACAACACAAACTTTATAGTTAAGACCAAGGAATATCAGGTCCTAGAGTTATGATAGATGACTAAAGCTGACTTATTTTCCAATTTCAAGAAGGTAAAAATGGCACCTTCAATAAATATAAAAAGTAAAATTTCCCTCCCACCCCCAATTTTAAAAGTATGAAACTAATCTGGATTGACAAAATATCCTATGAACTTAAACAATTATCTATGAAAAAAGGACAGCTTAACCCTCACACCCAAATTTGAAGTCAAATGCATTTTCCAAACAAAATCAGATCCAAACACGTTACAGTATCAAATCTGAAATATTCCAGCCATGATTATTTTCCCTAGTTGTATCCACATAACTTGTTATTACTGCATCCAAATAACTTGTCAGCTCAGGGAACATAAAGCTGGTATTCTGTAGAATTAACAAAACCACTGCTTGGTTACACTTCTCACTTGCTTTGCAAATGCTAGTCAAACCAAATCCTATGCATTCTACTTCTTACACATCTGCCCCTGCCTTCTCAGAGCTCAGGCACCCTTCAAGGACTTCCATGAGCTGGATCCTAACATCCCCTCTGCCCTCATCTCTCATCCCACCCTGACAAACTTTCTTTATTGTAGTCAAATAAATTACTTGTGGTTCCCAGAATGCACTGTGCTCCCTTGTGTCTGACTGCTTCTGCACATGCTCCTCTCTGCCCTATAGCACCTTTCTCCTCATCTCCCCACCCTGACTAATGCCACCTTATACTTCATCAAAACAGGATCTATTCTGGGGACCCTCCCCCAGGAGGAAATATGCGAGAATTGGGGCAGACAAGGAACTGAAAACATTCCTTTTCTAGGACAATTCTTGCTTTCAAGTAAAATTGTTAACTGAGCAGAAACTCAGCCAGACATCTTGGTGTATAGGTATATCAAGTATTGTGAGATTCTGAGGACTTTCACTTCAGTGGGATCCAGCAGAAGGATCCCAGAACACCAAGTCATAATATTGGTCATACTCTATACATTGTCACCCGTAAGACTGCAAGCTATCTGAAGTCAGAAGCTCAATCTATTTCATTTATCTTCTAATTCTAAAAGTATAACAAAGTACTTAGCACATCACAGTAAATATTCAAGTAAAAGTTGTTGAGGAGATAAAAAAATAAATGAGAAACATAAGCCAATAAGACTAAAGAATACAGCACTCTGATTTCGCATTAATAGATTTTTACCCTTTGAAAGCAGGTAAAAACTATAAGAAAGAGTTTGAACACATTATTCAAAATGTATTACAAAAGACTTCTACCTTTTATATTAAAAAGGTAGTGTACAAATAAGATTTTAACAGAGGTAAAAGGTCTGTAAGCTGCTGAGAGTAATTCTACACACTATTATAATGAAACTTAACACTATAACATAAAAATAAATATTACATATTTAGTGTCTATCTATTCCTAGTTTTTATGTTTGAATAATACTATGTCAAAAGTAAGTATACAGCCCTGGCTGGTTTGGCTCAATGGTCAGAGCATCAGCCCACGGACCAAAGAGTCACAGGTTCAATTCCGGTCAAGAGCATGTACCTCGGTTGCGGTTTGGTCCCCAGCCCTGGTTGGGGCCATGCAAGAAGCAACCAATCGATGTATCTCTCTCACATCGATGTCTCTCCCCCCCACCCTACCCCCAGCCCCTGTCTGAAAATAAATGGAAAAATATCCTTGGGTAAGGATTTAAAAAAATAAAAGTATACATAATTTTTTACTATAAGTTTTACAATTAGGTTAAAGATCAGAATCAAAATAAATGTGGACCCCAGAAAATGTTTTTGAAATTTATATAGGTTAATGGCTACTTAGTGCTAATCAGTTTAAAAAATGAAAAGCAACATGGCTTCTAATTATAAAGTAAAAAACCCTGCCCATTCCAATTCTAACATTCTGCACAATGACTCTAAAACACAAAAGCACACAATGATACATTCTTATTCATTAATTTGCAATGGCAAGCCCCACACCTTCTTCAGTTACAGTATAACTGAAACCTGAACATGCCATAATCTTTAAAAAGCAGAAATCAAAATGTCTTTTGAACATGGGCAAAATGGCATCCTCAATTCAAAAACAGATCTCTATTTCCTTCATTAGAAAAAGTCGATAGATTATAACCAAAATTCTGACCAAGTTGGAAATGGTGGTTCCAAGGGTTTTGATAATCCTTACCTAATCCTATTCGGTTTGGACTTGTTTCTCGGCTACATCCCTGACTCCTGGGAATCTTGCTTCGTTTTTCTGAAGAGGGTGTCACAGGCGGGCCTCTTGAGGAACCCCCAGCAAGACCACTATAACCACTCCCCAACAATTTCCCTGGAGAACTTGACCGGCTGCCAGCTAAAAATGAAGCAAAACAAAATTAAGTAATGGATGTAATCAGGGAATAAATTATAGTAATTTCAGCAGCCAGTTTATACATTAATTTGGATCAAATGTAAAAATAGCTTTGCAGTTGGTGTTAGTACTTTTTTAAACTGTAGGAGCATAAAAAAAATCAAATTATTAAATTATCATAAAAGAATATACATAGAAGAATTACTAGTGCAGTGCTACAAAAATAACTGCAAAATTTCATTCAAAAGGGCAGGATGAGTATAAAACAGCCTCACTGTTCCACTGAAAATTTCTAGAAATAACCCCAAAGGCATTTATTTATTGTTTTTTCTTTTTTTCTTTTCTTCTGTGATGTTGATATGTCAAAAAAAATTATCATAACTGCTGGAAAAGTAGAAATAGAAACATAACAAAAAGTTCTTAAACATCAGTAGTAGAAAATCAATCCAAGAGAACTCCACTAACGTAACAATCAGAAGAAAGGGAAGAACGGGAAAGAAATAACTAGAAATATGATAAATAAAAATCACAAAATAAGATGGTAGAAATAAGCTCAAACATGTGAGTAATCGTAATAAATGTGGCTAGATTAAATCCACCTATTAAAAGACAAAGATTTTTGGATTAGCTTAGAAAAATAAATAAAATAAGGCCCTGGCCCATTTGGCTCAGCGGTTAGAATGTCAGCCTGCAGACTGGAGGGTCTCGGGTTTGATTCTGGGTCAAGGGCACATACCTGGGGGTGCAGGTTTGATCCCCTGCAATGGATCAATGTGCCTCTCTCACATCGATGTCTGTCTGTCTCTCTCTCTCTTTCTCTCTCTCTCTCTCCCCCCCTCCTCGCCCCCTCCTTCCACTCTATCTAAAAATTAATAGAAAAGTACCCTTGGGTGAATATTAACAAAATAAAAATAATAAAAATAAAATTCAACTCTATATTTTTTATGAGAGACAAACAACATACCTAAAACAACAAAATAGAATAAAACATAGCATTAAAAAAGAACAAAGGAGCCAGTGTGGCTCAGTGGATTGAGCGTAGTCCGTGGACTGAGAGAGGTCCTGGTTCAATTCCCCAGTCAAGGCACATGCCTGGGTTGCAGGCCCAATCCCCAGTAGGGGGCATGCAGGAGGCAGCCAATCAATGTTTCTCTCTCACATTATTGTTTCTATCTCTCTCTTCCTCTCTAAAAAAATCAATAAAAACATATTTGTTTTAAAAAAGAACAAATGATATTTTATATTGACGATAAAAGAATTGTCCATGAAGCTATAATAATCACAAACCTCTATGCTCCAAATAACATAGCTTTGAAATATAAAACATAAAGTAAAAATATAGGAAGAAACTGAAAAGGTTAAAATACTTCTCAGAAAGACTAATAACTACTGAAAAACTATTATGCCTTGCAGAAATTAACAGAGCAATCAGTCAAAATTATATAGATATGTATAAACACACCTCCCACATACACACATGCAACTCAACGGACTACAGATTCTTTTCACCTTTCCACATTTATTACAAAAACCAATTGTATACTAAGCCTCAAAAGAAATTTCAAAAATCTACAAAAGTAGCAATCATATAGACCACATTCCATGAGATGTATGTAATAAATTAGAAATTGAAAACAGATGATATAGATAGTAATTTTTTTTATGGCTAGTGGCTAGATCTCTAAACACCCATTCTTGTGGGACAAAATTAGAGAAAACAGTAAAATTTTAAGGTTTATACCAACACACCTAAATGGCAGTCATTTACTTAGATCATCTGCTTAAGTACAGAAAGCAATAAAACTCTAAAACATAAAGTTCATATTATTATTTACCAGAATAAGGATGAGCCAAAGGTAGAAACCTTGGAAATAACACTTAACTGGAAATCAAACACACACACACCCATCATTCAAATGAATCACTAAGGTGCATACTCACAAAAACTGATACTTTATAATAATGATTTAACTATAGTTTAAAGTGAAATTAATTATAAAAATCACCAGTGCACATCACCATGAAGAACCTACCTCATGATCTATCAATTTTGCCCATAAAATCTAAGCACACAAATAACCCTAAAGCTATGTAAAAGGAGAAAAGAAATCCATTTCAAACTCTAGTATTTGAACATACAGAAAAAAAAATGCAGAGAGATTAATTAGGCTTATAATACAGAAATTAATATTGTGCAAGGAACTTAGGGTGAGAGAGAATGAACAACAACAAAAAAAAAAAAAAAGAAGAAGAGAAATGGCTTACCACCAGCAGGATTAGCAGATCTGGATCCTTGATTATGAGAGCAGACCAAAGAACAGGCAAAAAGTGGATTAAAAGACAATAACACAATACAGAAGGTCAGCATGCAAACACATGTCTTTGTTCACAAACACATTAGCAAAATAGCTATTTTTTCTGGTTCTTAATTCCTCCTAGCCTACTCTTACACTGATGTTAATTTTATATGCCAAACTACTTAGCATTTATTTCTAGTTTGTACATGAAACACTTACAAATCCACAATGTGTGAGGCACAGTGCTTGGCTTACGGGATAGAGAAAAGAGTAAGATAAATGTCTGCCCTCTGGGAATACATGTGCTCTCTAGCTCCTAGTAATCTGTGAGAAGTGATTGTATGTTACTAATCTGTGTATCACTATGGTCTTAAACAGGGTTTACCATATAGGAAGTGCTCAATAAACACCAATGAATAAAGAGGAGCTATTAACCAGTTTCACTTGGGTGCCCGATGCCAAATCCTCAAATATTTAAAGTCTCAAATATTTAAATCTTCAAATATTTAAAATATGCCAGCTGTTAAGAGCCCTAAATCTAATATTAATAAAATCTATTTACTATTAATGCAGGACTCAGAATACTAGTATATCTACATTTGTAATATACATATATATATGCTCATATTTAATTCCTTAAAATAATTATTAAAAAATATTTAATTTCTATTCATAAGTTTAAGACCCAGGTTTGATCATCTGTTGATGTTGTCTCCTTTAGTAGAGGAAGTTTTAAGGGGGAGTCCCTAACACAGGGAAGGTGCAGTGTTTGCCTAAGACTGAATTAAAGCTCTATCAACGCCCTCACTCCAGAAGGAACCTTCATCTTCACCACCTCCTAAGCAGAGGACACAGATAGGGGCAGGGACCCTGCGGAGGCCAGTGCCAATACACACTAGACATAAAGGAAGAAATGTAAAATTCGTTCAACCCTCACTCTCTAAGAAAGGAACTAACGCTACACAGCTAAAGGGTTAGACAATACTTATTCAACTCAATTTCAACACTGAGTTGAGAGAAAAGGGACCATGACCAGAGTAGTAGATCTATGTGTGACTCCAGGCAACAATAGGGTTCAAAAGAATAGCCAGAGCCAGGATACTGTTCCCAAGGCCCAAGCTACTGAGCCACATCTGTACAATCTATGCTGTGTAGTGTAGAGAAGGAAAATGGGCTTCTGTGTCAGACAAACCTGGGTTCTCTAGTCTCACTGAAGGCAGCAATACAACTATTGCTGCACTTTCTTTTCAGAAAGGAGATAAGCTTGTTTAACGTAAGTTCTATAGTTATCAAAGGGATATGAAGGAGCTGAGAAAGGCATTTTAAATACTAAGAGAGAACCTAAGGTTTGGCCACAGACTAAGTGATCTCTACACAAGAAGCAGACACATCAGCTGAAGACTGCTGTGTGGAGAGAGCAGGGTAGTTCCTGGGGAAGGGGCACTTCTTTCCACACATGCACCTTGCCCAGGAAAACTCTGACACCCAGTTCCACTCTACATGCACAGAGAGGGAGCAGGGCACTCAATGTCACAGGCAGCTGGGAAGTGAAACACCAGGGCTGGATCTCAGGAATACATTCATTCCATCTATAGCTGCTTTCATGTGTCAGGCTAACAAACCAAGTGACGCGACATACACAGAGAAGCAATAGCAGAGGCAGGCAGCTGTGCAAAGTAAGAGCCCACACTGGCAAGAAGAAAGGAGCAGGCTGTGAAGTTAGAACACAGAGTTAGAGGGGAGAGCTTTTAATGGATTTTCTTATGAGCACTGGAAAGAGGACTTGGCATTAAGTCATCTCTCCAGGTACTGCTCTTATATTACACCAGAAGGATTGCTTATCAATAGAAAATGGGTCACAGTCCCGGTATGTTTCAATTGGAGAGGCTTGAGGAGAGAGGAAGAGAAAGTACATTTTAATTTTTAATGAGGAATGATAAATTTAAATCACCTGGATAGGAGACAAAAGTACACTTGAATACTCCCATTTTGTAAGCTTACCCAAGAAACATCAAGATTACTCACAGTATCTTAGAGCCAAAGAAATGGGTTTTTCCCCTGAAGTCAATGAGAACAGGCTGTTGAATAAAACCTAGATAACAGAGAGCATAAAATATACTTCTTACGCTGGGACTGTGAAACCACTTTAGCGCGACTGCGGCCTCGATTATCAGAAGGTATAGAGGCGACATTGGTGGTACTCCCAGAGTTTTGACGTCTCGTACGAATCCGACCTGGAGAATATAGCAAAAACAGTGTTTTCCATGGGTTTTCAGTAAGTGCAACATATTACAAGAAAACACCCCACACCATGAGCAAGGGGCACTGACTGGGCTACCTACAAGAGGAATAGGTCTTCCAGATGTGTGGTCCTGACATGTTTCCCGGTGAGCGAGCATGTGCATATGATCTGTGCAAACAAATCCTAAAATATGTTAAGGACCCTGCCTAGTTGCTTAGTTGGTTAGAATGTAGTCCTGATACACCAAGGTTGTGGGTTTGATCCCAGGCTAGGGCACATACAAGAAACAACCAATGAATGTATAAATAAGTGGAACAAATTGATATTTCTCTCTCTTGAGCTCTCTCTCCCCCCTTCCCCTCTCTCTCTCTTTAAAATCAATTTAAAAAATACATTACAAACTCCTAAGAGTGAGCCATGAGCCTATCAGGTGCTTATGTTTCAATTACTTGAGCACATTATATTTTCAGATGAGGAGATGATATCTATCTGAGGATTTTTTTCTCAGATTAGATTCTTTTTTATTGGCTACAAATCTGTCAAAGCTCCAGAATCAGAAAATATTACCTGTTGTATTAAAAAAAATACTATAGAAAAAACTGAGCAAATGCAAAATACTCAGCAATCAATAAAAGCTACAACAGCCTAGAGAACAAATGTGCTTTGATATGCAGCATGAAACTTTTATTTTAAAGCATGTATGCCCAAACATTTCTAGGTTGCAAAAGATAAAAATAAAAAATAATATTGAATATAATTGAATAATATTGACTATAATATTGAATGTAATTGAAAAATAAAATTTTTTGAAAAGAACAAATACTATGAGTACCTAGAGAAATGATGAGCTAAAAATAATGCAATGTTGTAGGCATTTATGAAAAGAATTTGCCACTCCTAGTAAAGCAGTCTGTTAACTCCAATTATTAAACCATGAAACCATAAAAATAAAAATAAATTCAAAAATGCAAAATTATTCATGATCAGACTAGTATGATTAGGGATTAAACTTATTAAAATTCAGGCATTCTGTGGTTTCAAAGGGGAACAAAATGCCTCTCCTGCCGCGATTCAATCAAAACAGCAATCTGATAGGGAAAACGGAAACCATTTGAACCCCCATTGGCTTCTTACATTGTTAAAAATAACTTCTACTTTATCTTCTGAGAAAGCTTGCAGAAAAGTAACTCAGAAAAAAAAAATCTTAAGGCTTAAAAAGGGTTCAAGAAAGGGAGGTAAAGAGCAATAAAAGAAAGCACTGCACTGAAAAAATTAAAACTAGAATGAATGACTTAATAGCAGTTTAAGGAAAGGCATACACAAATTCTACAAGTTATCCCATATATTATACTAAAAGTGTACATGTGTGAATTCAGAATTCTCACAACATATAAGTAATTATACCTATTTTACAGATGAGGAGACAGAGAAATGGGGATAATTAATTTGTCCCAGATCACACTGTTGGTTTGGATACCTGGGCCTGCCTGGCTGGCCTAAGAGTAAGGACTTTTTACTTTCTTATGGAAATCACTGAGCTAAAATCAGTCACCAAGGCAATGAGAAGGTGAAAAATGACTTAATCTAATTTCTTCTTTTAAATTTATTATAAAATATTTAAGTCACAAAAAGATTTTTTCAATGAACTTATTCAACTTAAAAAAATAAATCTTTGCTAAGGTCCCTGAATCTTCTACCTTCCTCTACATTTGGTGACATGATCCTAAACCCAGTGTTCACCATTCTCTTGCATTTCTTTGCATTTTCAATAGTACGTATAGTTGTATAACTGAGAAATAGATGGTATTATTTTTTTTTATTTTAAATGTTGTTAATGATATCATAGGGTATATATTTTCCCAAAACTTACTGTTTTGTTCAACATTTTTTTTTTTTGAGGTCACTTAGTGAATTGCTTTTTCTGTAGAAGGTAAAGGAGAGACCCATTTTATTTTTTCCATGTGACTAACCAATGTCCAAATCAGTTTATTTAACCCCTTTATCACTGATCTACAAAGCCAACTTCAACATCTACTTTACACCGAGAAAAATAGCAAATGAACCTAAGATTAAAATGTGAATTATGAAACCATAAAAGTTCAAAAGAAAACATAGAATTCCATTGTAATTTCTAGTGTAAAAGTTCATTCTAACCATGACTTAACGTTAAAAGCCATTAAAAAAAAAACAAAAAAAACTGATACATTTCAATAATTTTTAAAGAAATCCTTGGAATGACCAAAACAAAAGAATAAAACAAAAACAAAATGCTTGGAGCAAATTCATGAAAATGACAAATTGGGAAAAATAATTTGCAATTCATATGACAAAGAGCTAAATTCCTTAACATATGAAAATAAGAAATCAACCAATCAGTGGTGTGTTAGTAAATATTCAACAGCTGGCTGGGGAGGTCGGGCGGTGGGGGGTGGTAGATTCTGGTTCTACTGATCTAGTGTTTTGTAATTTTCCTGGTATAAATATTCCCATCATGGTCAATTTCAGGCTGCTGAGGTGACATCAATCATCTTCCAAAATTCCTGAAAATTTACAGTTGGGTTTCATGATGATTCAAGTGAACTCCAGCACACCATTACCACAACCCAAAGCGAGCAAAGGCCCAGGAATAGACAGTTAAGGGAGAGAGAAAATTAAAATGGATCTCAAATGTTTAAAATAGTCTTCAGCCTCACTCATAAATTAAAATGACATTAGCCCACCTGGTGTGGCTCAGTGGACTGAATATTGTCCATGGACTGAGAGGTCCCAGTTCAATTCCAGGTCAGGGCACATGCCTGGATTGTGGGCTTGATCCCCAGTTGGGTGCGTGCAGGAGACCGAGGATCAATGTTTCTCTCTCATATCAATGTTTCTCTCTCTCTCTCTCTCCCGTCTTCTCTCTCTAAAAGAAAAAAAAAAATCAATAAAAGCATATTTATAAAAAATTTTTTCTTTATGATTTTAGAGAGAAAGGAAGGGACAGGGAGAGGAGAGGAGAGAGAGAGAGAGAGAGAGAGAGAGAGAGAGAAACATTGATGCGACAGAGAACATTGATTGGTCTCTTCCTGCATGTCCCCCACTGGGGATCTGGCCCACAACCTGGTGGGCATGTGCCCTGACCAGAGTCAAACTGGCGACCTTTTGGTGCACCAGTCAATGCTCAACCACTGAGCCGCACAGATCGATGCTCAGCAACTGAGCCACACCCGCCAGGCAATAAAAACATATTTTTAAAAAATGACATTAAAAATGCTATTATCTCCTTCCTATCAGACTGGCAAAAACCTAAGAATTTGCTAACATATCATATGCAGGAAAACTGGCACTCTCATTGCTAGTGGGAGTGAAAATTAATAACAGCCCCTACAGAAGGCTATTTGGCAATTGTCATACTTACAAATGCATGTACTTTTTAATCCAACAATTCCACTTTTGGGCATTTATCCCACCAATATACTTGCAAACATACTCATGCAAAATAATGTATATAAAAAGTTATTAACGGCAGAATTGTTTGTAATAGCAAAACTCTGAAGAGAACCCAAATGTCTGCCAAGACGGGACTGGCTGATTAAGATTAATCCATACAGTGGAATGTAGTCAAGTGGTACTAAAGAATAAGGAGTTTCTCTAATCTAATATAAAAATATCTTAGGTATATACAGTGAAAATAATTAAGATGCAGAACACTGAGTATAAATATGCTACCTTTTGTTTTTAAAAGTACCATTTTTGTATTACCTCTATATACAAAGAAAATGTATAAAAATGAAACAAAAGGGGTAACATACTGAGGATGAGGGAAAGAGGTGCTAACTAGGCAAATGAAAGACAATGACAGGAGGAAAACTTTTAACTGTGAACCCCTATATTTTCTAAGTTTTTAACTATATACATATATTACTTATTCAAAACTTTTTATTTTTACATATCATCCACTATAAAAGTGAGTTTGCAAATACTACTTAATATATTTTGAGGCTATTTTTATTAGATCCTTAAAATGTTAGTACTATTACATCTTCGTATTTATTGAATTTTTTATTATTATATAGAAATCCTTTATCTCCAGTGAAGCTTTTTGCCTTTGGGGGCATGTTATAAACAAATTTCAACATCTTTCTTTTATTTATTTATTTTTAAAAATTTTTTTTCCTTTACTGATTTTAGAGACAGAGGAGAGGGAGAGAGAAAAACATCGACGAGAGAGAACATCAATTGGCCGCCTCCTGTATGCCCTCCACTGGGGATTTGGCCCACAACCCGGGCAAGTGTCCTGACCAGGAATCCAAATGGTGACCTCCTGGTGCATGGGTCGATGCTCAACCATTGAACCACACCGGCCAGACAACATCTTTCTTTTATTATTTATTTCTTATCCTTGTCTTTTACTCTATCTGTAGCCTTATATTTTAGATTTGTCCATTTAAATAGCTTAATAATCTACCTTAACTGCAAAGTTGAGCTCATTTGAGTTTATTTTTCCATCTTATACATATGCTTTTTGTCTTGATTTTCCACTTTCCTTTGACCAACCTTTGTGTCCATCTTTTGTCTTAATCTTTTTTAAAGATATACTTTACTATCTTTAAGGTAACAGTCTTAATAGATTAAAATAATATTATTAAAAACACAACTTCTATCAAATCATACTTTTGGGGAGATGGAGTAGTTTTAAGGGTCCCGTTTTTAAATTAAACTTATTTTGAGATAATCGTAGACTTGGATGTAATTGTAACATATAATACACAGAGATCCTGTGGGCACTTTACCCAGTTTCTCTCAGTGGTAACATCTTATAAAACTATGTACAAGATCAAAAACAGGATATGGACACAGATATACTCCATCAATCTTATTCAGATTTTCCATTTTATTTGTATTTAATCTCTGGCTTTCCTTCGCAAGTAGTCTCTGTTTTCCTCTGGCTGCTTCTAATATATTTTTTAATTTTTGTGTTCTGCAATTTCACTACGATGTGTTTAACTGTCA